TCTCCCACTTGGTCAAATAATCACTAAAGAACAATGTCAATTACTGTAAGGCCTTGTGGAATACAGTTCGATTTTGTTTCCTCATCAAGCCACTTGTCAACAATGAAGATGATAATGAGTTATCAAGACTGAGCAGAGAAACTTCCATGAAGTCTTTACAACTACATTTATCAAATCCAATGTCACATAGGGCTGCCATCAAGATTGAAATCACAGAACGATCATAGCTAACCAAATTGACATAACTGCTATGATCATTCTTTTAGTCCAACTTATAGGATTGTTCAAGATCCTTTCTTTTACTCCAAGTAAAAGACATTACTGTTATGAATGCAATACTTTAACAGTTAACCTTAAGCTAGCAACAAATCATTCACTGTTAATTGCATTCAAATAACCAAAAGTTTATGCAAAACAAGTTAACCAAACAAAATAACCAAAACAACATCAAAATCAAAACTTTCAACTCTTTAAATGCGGTTTTGGAAGGCTAAACGAGCTCAGATGGCCAAAAAACATCCTACATCAGTGCAAAACACTGAGTCTGATTTGTGGCGTCATTCCCTTTACAAAAAGGTATAATACACCTCAATCGGAGCTCGGACGACAAATCTGCAAATTCCCGATATATCCTTTTTCTCTTGAAAACTAACAAGCTGCTCCCACTGTTTTTAAGCATCAAAACTGGATAACAACCCCATACCAGTTACATGCCTCTTGAAAACATTATTTGGTAGCCCTTTATTGAATGGATCTGCTAGATTAGACTCTGTATTAATATGATCCATAGCAATGCTTCCTTCACTGATCTTCTCTTTCACTGATAAGAACTTTAGCGATAAAGGCTTCCCTCCAATTGACCTTTTGTTCCCTTTTGCAAACAATATAGCTGAGTTATTATCATTCCAAATCTGTATAGGCTTCTCAATTGTTCCCAAAACTTTCAGGCTAGTTAGAAAAATTTTCAGCCAAAGTGCTTGACATGTTGTTTCATAACAAGCTATGAACTCTGCCTGCATAGTTGAGGTGCTCACAATAGACTGCTTAACACTTTTCCAAGAAACTGCAGCTCCTCCAAATAGAAAAACAAAACCTGAAGTAGACTTTAAGTCATCTGCACATCCTGCAAAGTCAGCATCTGCATAACCAACCAATTCTAAGCTTTCATTCCTTTTGTAAACTATCTTAAAATCCTTTGTTCTCTGCAGGTATCTCATGATTTTCTTCCCTGCAACCCAATGAGCCTGTCCTGGATTCGATTGAAACCTCCCTAACACACTTAAAGGAAAAGCTAGATCAGGCCTTGTGCAGACTTGAGCATACATAAGGCTGCCAACCAATGATGCATAAGGCTTATCTGCCATCTCCAACTTCTCTTGATCTGTTTTTGGCGCCTGTTCACGACTGAACTTATCTCCTTTGTTAATAGGCACATCACCCCCTGCACAGTCCATCATATTGAACCTTTTGAGTATTTTCTCAATGTACCCCTTTTGTGAAAGTCCTAATAAGCCTCTTTTCCTATCTCGGCTAATTTCTATTCCAAGAACATAAGATGCCTCTCCTAAATCAGTCATTTCAAAATGCTTAGATAGGAAGACCTTGACATCATGTAACAGTGTGAGATTAGTGCTTGCTAGGAGAATGTCATCCACATAGAGTACGAGTAAAACATAGTGCCTCCCACTCATCTTGACATATATGCATGAATCTAGGACATTTTCTGTGAACCCATATGTCTTGATAACTTCATCAAATCTCATGTACCACTGTCTAGAAGCTTGTTTTAAACCATATAATGATTTGTTCAATTTGCAGACCATGTTTTCCTGTCCCCTTTGAACAAAACCCTCAGGCTGCTGCATGTAAATTTCTTCCTTCAAATATCCATTTAAGAATGCAGTTTTGACATCCATTTGCTGAAGATGCAAGTCAAAATGTGCAACCAACGCCATGATTACTCTGAATGAGTCTTTAGTAGATACTGGTGAGAAAGTTTCTGTATAATCAATGCCCTCTTGTTGTGTGTATCCTTTTGCAACCAGCCTAGCTTTGTACCTGTCTATTGCCCCTTTCGAGTCCCTTTTAGTCTTATAAACCCACTTGCAGCCTATAGGTTTACTTCCTTGAGGTAAAACTTTTAATTCCCAAACACCATTCTTTTTCATTGACTCTAACTCGGATTTCATTGCAGCCAACCACTTTTCATTGTCTTCACTCATCATGGCTTGTTTGAAGTTCTCAGGATCATCCTTTCCAAGTATGTCATGCTCAGATTCTTGCAGATATACATAGCAATCCGGCAAAGCAGATCTTCTTGCCCTTTTTGACCTTCTCAATTCCATATCCTGCATATTTTGGTCTGTGCCTTGAATGTCATTGTTATTTTGCACAGCAGGATTCATAATTTCTGCTTGAATTGTGTCTGGAATGTCAATGTCATTATCATACACAGGTGGATTTGTGTTTTGTGCCTGATCCGTGTCTTCTTCCATATTGTCAGGATTATCACAGTTTGTGTCAACTGCAGGTATTATAACAGTGCCTTTACTTGTCTCAGATCCAGCATGGTTATCAATCTCCATTGATCCTTCATCAAAATCCAAAACTCTGTCTTCTATTTTATCAGATTCATCTTCCATGAAAACGGCCCTTTGAGTTTCAACAAATCTTGTAGTGTTCTTTGGACAATAGAACCTATATCCTTTTGTTCCTTCTGGATAACCTACGAAATAGCAACTTACAGTTCTAGAATCTAGCTTCTTTTCCATAGGATTGTAGAGTTTCGCCTCTGCTTTGCAACCCCAAACTTTTAAGTGGTTTAAGCTAGGCTTTCTTTTGTTCCATATTTCGAAAGGTATTTTGTTAACACTCTTTGTTGGAACTCTATTCAAAATGTAATTTGCAGTCTTCAAGGCTTCTCCCCATAGAAAAATAGGAAGATTAGTACCACACAACATACTTCTAACCACGTCTTTTAGAGTCCTATTCCTTCTCTCAGAAACTCCATTCTGCTGGGGTGTTCCAGGATTTGTATATTGAGCAATTATTCCTTCTTCTTGTAGGTATTTTGCAAAAGGTCCTGGATTCCTTCCAGCCTCATCAAACCTGCCATAATACTCTCCACCTCTGTCTGACCTTACCACTTTAATTTTAAATTCCAACTGTTTTTCCACCTCAGCTTTATAGATTTTGAACATATCTAAGGCTTCTGATTTTTCTTTTATCAAATAGATATGTCCATATCTTGAGTGATCTTCTGTGAACGTGATAAAATACTTGTATCCTTCATGTGTTGGATTTGGAAAAGGACCACAAATATCAGTGTGAATTAATTCCAACAAATTTTCACTTCTTACTGCTCCTTTCTTCCTTAAGGTGGTTAGTTTTCCTTTTATGCATTCAACACAATTTTCATCCAACTCATTAAAATCAAGTGGTGCTAACACAGATTCTTTGCATAGGGTGTTCAATCTTTCTTTTGAAATATGGCCGAGTCTCTTGTGCCAAATTTTTGCAGATATCTGATTCTTACGTTTTGTGCTTGTAATGTTCATAACCATTTGAGGAGTCTTGCAGTTTAACTGAAACATATTGCCAACAAGGATTCCATTGCCAACTAACTCTTTATTATTGAAAATTGAAAT